AGGTTTGGATTTTCTTATCACAAAAAATAAAATGAAGGACCTCAACCACCAGAACAGTTTATGAACCAGTCTGAATCTATTTATCTTTATTTGAATTTCTTCTAGAATATGTAAAAAGTAATAAAATGTATCTCCCATGCTACCTGTATAAAAAGAACGTCTATAATTGTATATATGCCTTTAATGTATTTTCCCTTCAAGATTATCAGCTGTGTGCTTGACCAGCAAATACTAAACAAACAAAAAATTTCCTTGTATTTAATGCCTTTACAGAGAAATAAGAGAAATCAATTGTAGTTACCTGAATTCACAAAGTGAATTCTCAGAGAGTAAGAGATGCTTTGCCTAGAACAATGATGGCTTCAGGTGGGAATATTTGCAAACTGGATCCTGGTTCTATATAGTTTGTTAGAGATATGGTGCTTATTCCCATTCCATATTTCTTCTCAACCCTGGACCTCATCCCATTCCTCACCCTCAATGTTCACCAGAAATTTCCAAGTAGTGGGAATATGTCAGTAAATCAGGGAAGCCTGAAAAGGCTACTGAACAGGAAGAACTGGAACAGAGCAGGAAGAATGTGCAGTCTTGTTCTAGACAGTCTGGAGGGGACCGGGAATGGATAAGTATCTAAAAATTATCCAACCAATGAATAAATAAGATAACCTCACTCTCTCCCTGGTCCCAAAACTCTATGTAGAGATCAGAATTGGGATGAGGGGTCGGAAAGAGGGCAGAGTAAGATTTCTATTTTTCACATTATTTTATCATCTGGACAGCATCTATAGGAGAATGAAACTATGAGTAGGATAGCTTCTTATATCTGGGGAGTCATTGTCTTATAGTTGCTTCATTTGCTTACCATTTTCTCATTCATTTATCAAATACTTCTTGAATTTTTACTATGTAGTTGGCAATATAGTTTCAAGGCAGAATAGAAGACCAAGTTTATAGATATAGACACGCTGACATGTCTTTGATCATCACCATTGAAAGCACAGGTAGACTCTCATGGAAAACCAGTAGCATTTAAAATATAAGATGTCAATATGTCAAAAGAATGGGTATAAAGCATTTAAAATATTAATACTTAACAATGAACATGAATTTATAATAGAGCTTATTTTCATGATTATATCACCTTAAATCTTGAGGGGAAAAAATCTTGTGTTAATGTAAAACTTCAGGTATATTAAGTGAATGTTATCTATCAAATTAGTCGAGGAAGAGATTCCAGATTTTATGTTCATGATTGGTTTTGCATACAACCATTTCATTATGAAGGAAAGCCCCTCGTGAAGAAATTTTGAAAATAATTTTTCATTCTTATTTGGTATAGAACCAGGTTATGAACCATATTTGCTCAAAACAAGATTCTATCTCCAGCAAAATTGAAGGGTGCTGTGAAAAGAAAATACCAGAACGGGAAGATTGTATAATTAACTCAAAGAAAGATGATAGACCAAAGGACTTATCACTCAGAGAAGCAAAATTTACTGACAGCGAAAATGTGTGTCAAGAACGAGATACTGACCCAGACAACTTCTTTGCTGAGTAATATTTCTCTATTGAAATTTATAAGGCAAATAGTAAGAAACCAAATAGATTTGTTCTACATTGGCTAAGTTGGGGGGTGAATAAGGAAACCATTTAATTCTCTGGGTATTATATAATTCTTAAAAATCACAGTTATAGACTATACTGTTTTGACATAATTTTAAGGAACAGTAACTATTATTATAGTGATGACTAATATTTATTGAATACTCAATATTTGCCAGGCTATGGGCTAAATACTTTGTACAGATTATTTAGGCACCTAAAGTCAGTCATTTTAATTCTAAAATCAATCATGTAAAATAACCACAACTTTCAGTTTTTCAGATGAACAAACTGAAATACAAAGAAGTGAATAGGCTTGTTCAAGATTCATAGTTAAAAATTGGCGAGTAGGGATTTAACCCCAGGCAGTCTGGCCTAAGAAGCTGCAGGCTTCACTGCCTTACTGTGCTACCCTGCTGCTGTTTAGGGGATCAGTTGTCTGGGAGCCACAAGGACTAAATCTGAGTCTTGGTTGAGTCACAGGGACAAATTAAGCATTATCATATGTAAAACTCAAATAAGAATATTTGTTCATTCACAGTTTATGGGTAATGAAACATAATCTGAGAGGTTTACTGGGTTTCTACCTCCAGGAAGCTTTTATTTTTAGGGAATGTGATATTTACAATTGAGTAAGTGCAAAAAATGTCTGACAGCACTCGGTGCTCAGTGATGTGAGAACAGAGGAAGACGTGGTCAATTGTATCTGGGAACCCTGGAAAGGCTTAGTAGGGAAGTAACAGCTAAAGGATTTTTGGTGACATTGATAGGAGGGTATGGCATGGATTGGTTGTACATAGTTTAGTGAGTAAGGGATCTGCAGTGAGAGACCAGGGTAGTGAGAGGTAGATGGAGCCAGACAGGCATGGTAAGTAATGGGATGCCACTGAGCATTTTCTTGAAGAATAAGAAAGGACAAAATCACTTATATTTTTTAGAAACTTCACCTGGAATATATCCTGGTTTGGGGCTTAGATGACTGGAGTGTTTTTCCCACTCCAATGAAATGGAAAGTACAGGTGAAGAAGCAGCTTTTGTGAGAAAGATAACGTTTAGGATCTGAGCAGGCTGACTTTAGGTGCCCATAGAGTGAATGAGACTCTAAGAAGACAATTTTATACAGAACCTGGAGTTGTGGGAAAAGGTCTGCATTGAAGACGCGGGATATAATAACAGCTAATGTTTATTGAACAGTTAAATTTTAAGTTCTCATCTATTGAACAACTAGATTTCCCAAATAACCTTCTGAGTTAGTGTACTTTTATTATTCCCATTTTACAGGTGAAGAAACAGGCATGGAGAGATTAAGTAACTTGCCCCAAAATCACACAGCTAATATGTGGCACAGCTAGTATTCAAATGCAAGCATTCTGAGTCCAGATTCCTGCTCTTATAGTTACTGCTCTTATAACTACCCTGTTGTGTTGCTTCTAAGGAGTTACAGGGAGTCAATCAAATTAAACAAAGTGATTGACTGTACCTGATATAAATGTTCAATAAATGGGAGAAATCATCCTATCAGGAGCAGCCTCTACATTATAAACACTTTTGTGGCATAATAGCTTAATAGGGAGAAATGACAGAGTATCGATGAACAGAGTTTAAAGGTGCAGTCTCTGGATGTGAGTATCTAAGGCAAGACCACAATGGATCCCCCAACCTAGGGTTTTTGTTGGCAACATTTTTGGAATGTGTTTTCAGGTATCCCCCCAGGTAAAGGTTCATGGCTTACATTAGACATTAAGAGGAGTCCAGATTCTCTGTAGGTTAAGCACCTTTGCCTCAGGGATGGGGATATATTCCAGACGTGAATCAAGAAGGCAGATGGGAAGCTGGAGAGAGCATGTCAGTAAAAACAAGACTAATCAAAGAGGTTCAAAGGCAGAACCAAAAGAGAATAAAACTAGTTGCCTGGTCATGAAAAACATTTGTGAGGGGTTACTCTTACAAAACACAGATGATCTTAACTTATTTTGAATGAATAGATGAGATTCTTTTAAGAAGAATAAATAGCACCGCTGAGGTACTTGGACAAATCAGTTCTCCTGAGAAAAGAGTTAGCTTGGTATAAAAAGAATGGAGTCGGGATCAATACTTTTAGTTGAGAACTTTTGTAAAATGATCCGTAGTGAAAATGTCCTTTTACACTACCCACAGATGAACCAGAGGAGGAAATTGGTATTTTAAAGCAAATACAATAGTAGATCTGACTGGATTAAAAGAAACTGGGGTCGGGTGTTTTGCTCTTTCTCTCAGTTCTAATGTACCAAATATTTTATGAATCTAAGGTTTATTTATGAGTACTCAAGGAGACATCAAGACCTGTCTACACCAGAGCTTCTAAGAATTGGTAGAGTATACGAGGATCTCCTGGGAGATTGCTGCAACAGAGAAAACCCTCCAGATTGTTACCGCCATGCAGTAAGTTCCATTGCTGTAGATTCAAAACCCTGGGAAAGCACAGTGATATAACACTCAAACATTGATAGTCAAGTTTAGTCTAAGGTGTGGAAAATGTGATTCATTGACCTGAGTCTACTCTAGATGACTCAGTGAATGATGACCACTCACTGGGAAGACCAATATCATTGACTTGGCTTATGTACACTGTTTCGAGCTACAAATTAAGTGTGTTGATTTAAAAAGCTCTTCCCATTAAATATTTTCCATTTCCACCTTGATTTCTGTCCTTTTATTTAACTCTTGAATCATATTTTGGTATGATTGTAAAAGAAATAAATAATTATTGCAAATGGTTAGGAAAGCGTCAAAATTTACATAGAAAATAACAAAAAGACTTTCTGATTCTATCGATAAGAAATAGCTATAATTAACTTTTCATCTCTTTTCTACAAAAGATTGGAATAATATTTTCTTAGAAAATGTTTGGGCCTGTTTTGTATTTGGTATCATAGAAAAACTTTTTTGTTGTTATAAATTGTTTTATATTAGTTTCCTGTTATGGACACAAGCATAGTGGCTTAAAATAACAAAAATATATTCTTTCCCTGGGGGCCAAAAGTCTGAAATGGGTCTTACGGAGCTAAAATCAAAGTGTTGGAAGGGCTGTGGAGGTTCTAGACAATCTCTTCTTTGACTCTCCCAGTTTCTAATACAGAAAACCTTTATGTCATAAACAACCTTCAAAATAGACTTCATTTTAAGTGATGGTATCCCTTTGTCATGATGTGAATAATTTGCTTAAACTCCTCTCCAATGTGTCAGACATTGTGGATATTTAGTTAGGTTATTTTTAATCTTTGTAAGTGTTATAACCTTAATTTTATAAGGTTATTTTAATTTTATAGAGTTGAGAATCTTCATTTATTTATATTAATATTTATGAATATTTTCTGGTGATAGAATATCAAAGAGGTAATTATTGGGTCAAAATATATGGTTTGTGTGTGTGTGTGTGTGTGTGATACTGGGACTTGAACTCAGGGCCTTCACCTTTGAGCCACTCCACCAGCCCTATTTTTGTGAAGGGTTTTTCAAGATAAGGTCTCATGAACTATTTGCCCAAGCTGACTTCGAAGCACAATCCTCCTGATCTCTGCCTCCTGAGTAGCTAGGATTACAGGTGTGAGCCACCAGCACCCAGCAAAATATATGGATCTTGAAAAAACATTTGACACAAATTGCCAGTCACACAGCACTGAGTATGCTTATTTCAACCTACCTTTGCCAACAGTACAGTGGAAATTAACATTGTTAGATTTTATATGTGAAAATAGTTGCTGTGTTCTAAACAAACATTTTTTTATTTTAAAAATTACGTTAATTTTCACATAAGATTTTAGCTAAAGTTTATAAATATTGCAAACTTTCTATAAACAAGTTGTTCATGTCTATTACCCATTTTACTATTGAAAGCAATGTTTTTCATATCTATTACTGTGTGCTCCTAATATATTATAGAAATTAAGTATTTTTACTTTTTGGTGGTACTAGGGTTTAAATATTTTGGCATTTTTAATTTGTTTCTCATTTCTTTGGTATATGCTACTTTTGATTTATTTTAAAATTGTCTTCCACTTGCTATAAAAGTCAGTTTATACTCATTTAGATTTGATCAATGGAGTAAGAACCCTTAAGTTTTTCCATTCCTATACTGTCACTGTTCTTAAGAAGGAAGTCTGTTCCTGACCCTTAACTGAATCATAGTGCTAGAAAATTCCCTTTTTTACATTGAGACACAATTAGTACCACAGCATTCATCCACTGTGTGTGGTTCTCTCTGCTGACCACTCAGCAGATTTTCAATATTGTATGCCATGGCAGAGAGTCCACCAAATATTTGAAAATAACTATTGGAGGTTTTCAGTTTCAGATCTAACTGATGAAAAACGATAAAGACAAAGATAAACATGATTTAAAATGTTTTATATCAATACTTATTAACTGGGTCATTCTCTTAAAGTCACTTAATTTCACAAGGACAACTTTCTTTACTTAAAAATGGTGCTAACAGTCACTCTGCCATTTCAAGTAACAATCAAATATAGTCATTGTCAATATAAAGTTTGAATGATACTTTGCTAGGTAGGCACTCTTGGAGTCATATCTCCAGCCCTCCCCCATGGCTTTTTTGACAGTACTAAGTTTTGAACTCAGGGTCTCATGCTTATTAGGTAGTGTTCTACCACTTGAGTCCCCAGGTCAATGCTTTGCAACTCCAATAGCTCTGAAAAATGTGCAAGAGGTAGTTTTAAATTTTGACAAAATCCAAAAACATATCTGCATCTATAATTGAAAAATTCAAATTCTTACACACATGTGAAAGTGCCCTCAATTTTGTAATATCTAATAAGAATTTGAAAATATTCTGTTAATAAAAAGCTATTTGATAAGCTGATATAAAGCTTAAGAGTAAATTTTAGATGAAATGTTTGTAGCTGTGATTGTTCTTAATTTTCAGGAAGACAAATTCAATGAGACAACTGAGAAAAGCCTCAAGATGGTACAACAAGAATGTCAACTTTTCCAGAATTTGGGGAAGGATGGCTTGAAATACCAGTAGGTTGTTTGCACAATTAGGTTTAAAACACATGATCAAGATAAAACAATCTCTTAAAGTATAAAAATTAGGTTAGTCTTCAGTTATGGCCAATTCATAAACTCTAAGAAGGAATAAATGCACAAAAGTCCAGAAATAAAGCCAGAAACTAAAGAAACAATTGTAGACAAATTAATATTCTCACGCTTTGGTTTCTGATTGAGCTTGACTTTCTCACTCCCAAATCAAGATCCTTGAATTCTTTCCTATTTGATAGTGGGACTGATTAAACTTTAGGTTGTTACTAGGAAATGGATGATTTGCCCAAGATTTAACTTCCTCTTAACTGCGTTTATAGAAATAACTGGATTTGCTTACCATTGTAGTGTTTATTCTCTTAGTGCTCTGTGAATATTAATGAATGGTATGCTGCTAACTCAGATTTTCTTATCACATTAGTGTAATGTTTGTTGAAGTAAATATCTCTAAATCAAAATAATATGTAGCTTAAAAAACAAGATTTCACTATTTCTGCAATCTTGCTGTTAGCTGAGAATTCAAATTCAGCTAATATCCAATAAGGATTTTAGCTTCCTTCATCTCATTCCCACGATCTGTGTGTCTCATATATCTATTAAATTCTCCCTTTAAAATATTTACTATCTACACAAAGGACTTTGAGCAGAATTTTAATAGCCAAAGTATTTCCTGCCAAAGAGCTATATTTACAGATAAGATAGTACAGGCAAATCTAAAAGTTTATGATACAAACACGAATTAGAAAGAGAGAAAAACGATAAACTGTAAGCATTAGGGCACAGGGAAATAAGGAGTGAAGAGATATTTTGCTTTCATTTTATGAAATCTGAGGTTCACATTGAACTTAAGTTGATTTGTCCAAGCCTTGAAGAATCTGGGTTTCAGCAGTTATTCAAGGGAAAACGGTATCTGCTTTTGTTCAGAACCAAACAGAAGCTGTTCTTTCAGCTACTTTATCAAACTCACAAAGATAGCACCCCAGCTCTCTACTGAAGAACTGATGTCTCTTGGCAATGAAATGGTGACAGCTTTGACTACCTGCTGCACGCTAAGTGAAGAGTTTGCCTGTGTTGATAATTTGGTGAGTATGACCTGCATACCTGACAATTCTTTGAACAAGGAAATAGTACAACTCATTGATTTCAAGTTACTACCAACCTTTCTCATTTCCTTGTCTTTAACTTTTTCAAAGAAAGACTATTGTTTTCCTTTTGTCTACTTTGTGAAAGTTATAAGAAGCAAAAAAATATTTTAAATATTTGCAAGGAGTCTCTAAATTATCTTTTTTATATCTTGTGCATATTAGAAGTTATTTTTTAGGACAAATTAATTTAGAAATCACAATATTGTTTCAGAACAAGAGAGATCGATTTAATTTACTTTGCAGTACCTTTATTTATTTTGCATGCTAAACAGGCTCTTTGCCACTGAGCTACAGCATCAGTCTGGAAACCCTATAATTTTATGTAATGTCATATTTTCTCTCTCTTGCCCCAACAAGAGAATTGCTACTTCCACCCTAACCTTTTTAAGGACTGGAGTGGAGAGTATCTAGGAGTGCAATATACCCAGGGACCACAGTGTTTAGTTGTCACTTTGAGTTGGCTATTTGTAGCTCTCTGCAAACAATTAAAATTTTGTTTATTTATTAACAAGAAATAAATCTTTGGGCATTCAAACTGCTGTTCCTTGAATTTTTGTCATTCTGCCATTTAGGACACCAGCCATTTCTTTATACATAGCATAGTATTATGAGTGTATGTGTTTTTCTGAGTAAGGTTAACAGTGATTTTAGAATAATATAATCATTCATCTAGTCACGTTTTTCAAAACTCCTCTTAAGTTTTAAAATCGTATCTTCTTTCCATTTCTCATTGGTACAGGCAGATTTAGTTCTTGGGGAATTATGTGGAATAAATGAAAATAGAACCATCAACCCTGCTGTGGACCACTGTTGTAAGGCGAATTTTGCCTTCAGAAGGCCCTGCTTTGAGGCTTTGAAAGCTGATAAAATGTATGTGCCTCCACCAGTCTCTCAAGATTCATCTACTTTTCATGCAGACTGGTGTCAGGCTCAGAATGAGGAACTTCAGAAGAAGAAAATCAGGTGTGAACATTTTCTTCCATTCCCTTTCCTCCATCCTGAAGGCACACCATGTATCATGAGAAGGGTAACTGGTTTTGTTCTGACAATCCTGATCCTTTTGCCCAGTCATCTGCCTCCACTGAATATTTGCTGTCGTTATTTATAAGTAAAAGCTTGTCTTCCTGGATAAGCTTTGGACTTGGAATGTCCAGTAGACTGTGATTTGAAAAGGTGGGTTAGAGCAGCTAGCAAAGAGGCTCCTGGACAGCTTTGGGTTTTCTTGAGAGAATGACATCGATATTTGTTCTGAGAATATCATGTAGTGTTTCGAAAAATGGAGAGACCTAAAGGGATAGGAATTTTTCTTTCTTTCTCTCAAGCAGTACTTTAAATGCTAAGGAAGAAGGCCTGTTATTTTGAATTTAGACATTGTATCAACTATTGTGGAAACAGCCTTCAGCTATTGAGGAAGGAGGATTGGGATTGTTTTGGACATGAATTTTCTAGAAAGATCAAACATAGTAGTCTATGTTCCATATGCTATGTATAAAAATACCAGACATATGTTCATATTTCTATACTATTTTGTCTGCAATTTTGTAACCCTCTAAAATGTTCTTTTATGAACAAGAAAGTTTCAGAAGACCCTTTCAAAAATGTAGTACTTAAACACTTTACATTCTGCCTTTTCAAAACCCCAAGATTTGGTAATATAACAAGCATTTGGAGAAGTGGGGCTTCAGAAGGAAATCATTAATTCTGTTTGATATCTCTGAGTTATAGGTTTCTTGTCAACTTAGTGAAGCTGAAACCTGAACTCACCAACGAGGACCTGAAGACTTTGTTTATAAATTTCACTGTTGCAGTGGAGAAGTGCTGCAAAGAACAGGAGCCTGAAGTCTGTTTTAATGAAGAGGTAGTCTTTCTTTTCCACTGGAATTTATCTGGTGTTCCTAGTCAAATAAAAGGAACTAGAACTCCCCATAGGACTTTGCCTCCTCCCTGGAATGTACATGAGTCCTGTGTTTGAGAGCACAATTGCTACACAACTAAAATGCAGATGTATCTCTGATGTGTGTTGGGCACCATCTCCTCATTGCCAGGGCTACCAAGGAAACCTGGGTTCTAATACCTGCAATCTTGGCTGTGCAATTTAAATTGAATTGCATTTTATCACCTGTAAATGAGGATGGTAATGATTAGCCTTGAACTATACCACTGGTCCTTACCATTCTGTTTTGAATCATTCATCATCTTAATAAAACAGTAAAAAATCTTGTAAAGAAAATCATAATCAGATCTAAAAGAAAGAGAGAAGTGTATTAGGAACTGAAGCCTTTCAGATATGACTGTCTCCCTTTCTGGAACCTTCTCAACATCCTCCAGTTGAGCATTCAGGAAACAGCTTAGGGCAAGGGAGCAGGGGGTGGGGAGGAAGGAAAAAATGTCCTCTGCTTCCCTTTACTCCCATGGCTGTGGAGTCTGTAGCAATCACTGTGGTGTGAACCTATTACCTGTGCGTGTCAGATCCAACAGACAGCTGTGTGAGAGGCTGGTCATTCATGGTTTCCTTTCTTGTTATGTCTTTTTCAGCACACACATTCCACTCCAAAACTCACTTAAAGTTCATGCAGACTCACACACTTTATGCAAACTCACAGGCACACAGTTTTCCTTTTGGTTGAGAGCCCTCTATTTTTCTGAGAAACTGCTTAATCTATGGGAATATTTTCTTGGCAAAAATAATTAGTTTAAAAACATAATTTTATTAGAAGGTATTAATTGATATCTAGCATCTACCTAAGTGAGTGTGTGCATTAGGACTGTATAAAGAGAGGGATGGATATATTGGTAGTTCATAGAAGACCTTTAGTGTCTGTTTCAAGGTTAACTTAAAGAAAGAATGTTCTGTGTTTCTTTATACAATAAAGAAGTGACTTTTATTTTTATTCTAAAATTCATGGTAACAGGCTTCTCTAAATTTAAATACTAGTCTCTTAAACTTTTCTTCCTGTGTAGATTTATTTCTTTTTTCTTTCCTCTCAGGGTCCAGAAATTGGTAACTAAGTCAGACCACTTGAAAAACAAAGTCAAGAGCATCAGAGGTGATCCCTTCTATCTCCATCAGCTGTCAGAGGTCCTTGCAGTTGATTCAGTCTCCCTGGCCTTTTCCCTCTCATGTTTCAAATCCATCCCATGTGCCTTGAGTCCCTGATACTGGTCCCTGATACTGGTCCTGTAGTGTTTGTCTGGATGCTAAGCGCTCTTTGAGGGATACAATGCTGAACTTGAACAAGCACTTTTCAAGAAGTTTTCTAAATAACCAAAAGGCAGCCACTCCACTGATTCTATTATTGCATTCAGTTGTCTGAACAAAAAAGAGACAGTTGAGTCTCCCAACGTTAATGCAAAGAGGAGAGGTAAATCCTTCGGGGTTGGGCTATACAGACAGGCTTCAGTTACCCTCTTCCAAGAGTCTTTTTTTGAGAGCCTCAATAAGAATCACTGTACTGAGATATAATCAATCTATAAACTAAGAGTTGTACCCAAGTATTTACGTTAAAAGAAGAAATAAGCTTGTGATTTCAAAAAGATACATAAAGGATACCCTTTTCTCCTGTAGTTTACATAGGATTTGTAACAAACTTTAGGTACAAGTAATACCTAGATAGCAGCAATCATGTACAGTGTCAGGAGAGAGAGATGTGGACTACAACAGAGTAGGATTGCAACTACAAAGGCAACACATAACTATTAAGACTGTTACCGAGTTATAATGTTTCAGAGTCTTTTGATACATAAAATACTATTTTTTTCCTTTCAGCAAAGACCAACTTAAGGGCTTCCTATCTGACCTGTGGTGAATTTTATTTTCTGAGAAGAATGAAGTGAAAAGATTCTTCTGTACCCTTTACTTGAAATTGCATGACTACTGCAAGCAATAAAGCAAAATTATAAAGTTATTTCTCAGACTGATATCATCTATCAACCTGATTACAAAATTAAGCAATCATGATTAGTTTATTCCATCAACATCTTTTGCACACTGGCTGAGCCTGCCCACCTCCATGGAAGTCAGAACTCTGGGCAGAGTGCTCCCAGGTCCTGTACTCACCACTATAGGAAGGAAATGGGGAGTCCAGAGCATGTGTGTGGGATACCAAGAGTACTGCTACTACTCACAGCTGGCATTTATTGAATATTATCAGTGTACCAATCATTGTTCCTGGTACGTTGCATGCATTGTCTAGTTTAGTCTTGACAACTCTATGAGCAAATACCTTTTTATAGTCTCATTTTACAAACAGTGAGTCTGAGATTTGGGGAAATAAACTAAACTGTTCAATGCAGTATGACTAGTAATTGGTAGAACTGAGGTTTAAGTTTGTGTCCTTTAATTCCATAACAATATTCTCAACCACAGTCCATACCCTCTCCTAGATATGGTCATGTCATATGCATTACAAAATCTGTTATGCATAAAGGGGGAGGAGTATGCAAGCCATCAGCAACAGTTTGACTTTTATTCCTTCCATCCAGTGGGATGGATCCCCTACTGAAATCCCTGTTTGTTTGGAGCTATAAATGCTTAACAATGATGTCAACAGAGAGGGGAACTCAAGAAATAAATATTGGTTATGAGTTCATGAACTGATTGTCCTGACTGTTCTCTATTATAAGAATTTTCTTGTTTCAGTTTCTACAACTGAAGATGATAACCACATAATAGGTAATACATACTCATATCCAGAGTCATTTTGGCATAGTGTTTAGAATACAATCATTTGAATTCTTATTCATTTATTTAACAAATATTTATCAGAATCCTGCTGTGTGTCAGACATGTTGAGAAAAATGTGAGCCAGCCAGCAAGCGCTCCTTTGTCTTGTTGAGTGGGGAGACAATGCAGTGCACACTGCTCAGACATTCAATGATAGGCCAGAAACCTTCAAGTTCTTACTGCCATTAACTGACCATAGGGCCTCAACCAAGGTCCTTACACTCTATGACTTCAATTTCTTTGTGTATGATGGGATAGAATCCCTATGTCACAAAATCTTTAGAGAAATGAATTAAATTACTATATAACTTACTCAATACATCAGCCAAAAGATAATAATATTTAATTCATAGAGTTGTCCCTTGTCCACTTTTCTCCCAAACATTTTGATTTACTAGTGAGAATAACAAAGAAGAAAGTTTTATTTAAGCAATACATAACAGATTTGATTAATGGAAGAGAAAGAGGGCACAATTAGCAAATTCAATTTCATACCTAATATTAGATTCCTCTTTGTGTTCAATACTCTGCTAAGAACAGCAGACGTGAAACCCAAGATCATGGAAGCCACTGCCAACATGTAGATTTTACTGTCACAGAGGAAACTGCCATCCAACTTTCTCCACTACCATGCCAGAGAACACACTAAACAAACCAGGTAACCAATGTGATGTGAAGAAAAGAGAGAGAAGAACAACTTCTTCAAAAGACGTATTTTTCCTGGAGTAGAGAGGATATGGACTGAGGGCAAGTCAAACTTATTTTCTATTACTCATGTAGAACTCATGTCAATGAGTAGAACATACTTGGACTTGACATAGGAAGAAGTCTATAACATTAGAGCTGCTCCTAAATGCAGTAAGCCTCATGGTGTAATAATGAATGCTCAGATTGCATTTATATAAAAAGTCATCACCCAGGTCTTTGTGGGATCCAGGAATCCACTCCTGGTCTTTCTAAGGTCATAGAACTCTTGTTTCTAGAACTGTGCAAGAATTAGGTTGCTATGCAAATCATATTTATTAAAAACCATCACTGTGCCTCATAATTGGATACCTTCCATTTTTATCTTGAAGACCAGCCTGAAGAGGTTTCCTCTTTTAAATACCAAATTCTGTGGAATCTACTGAGTGGTATCACAAAACCCATCCCCTTTCCTTTGCTTAAGTAATCTCCATTATTTGTCTTTCATATGGTCTGAAATCCTCCTGTTAATTACTAATGGAGGACTTACTATCATTATATGTTTTCAAGAATCTCTTGCTGGTAATTGGTCTGAAATCCTACTGCTAGTCACTTATGGAGGACTTAATACTTTTTATATTTTCAAGAATCTCTTACTAGTACTTACAAATATCTCTAAAAGGAGCATTCCCCTGAAGAGTTAATTTTGGCCATTTTTTAAAAAAGGAAAATTTAGCACACATACAACAGTTTTTTTTTTTTCCAGTGTTAGCTCCAACTGATTGATAGTGAGTGGCTGTACAAGGTACCATACTGTGAATAATTCTAAGACCAACCATAGCTCAGTTAGTAATGATGGGAGTGGATGGCAGTCTGGTAGCATTCATCCAAAGGACTGGGGATAGTGTACCAAGCCCATTTCTGATAGTTACAGGAATCTTAGAGTAAGATTTCAAGGGAACAACTCTGAGGATGCATGTCAGAAGAGATGATGAGCTTGATATGGTGGTGCATGTCCGTAATCCTAGCACTCAGAAAGGTGAAGCAAGAGGATTGTATGCTTGAGGCCAGCTTGAACTACACATTGAGAATCTGTCTCAGAAAAACAAAAACAAATAAAAAAGATACTCTGTGTATTAAGACTTTTTAGAGGACCTCCAAAGGTATGGTGGAAACTGGCCAAAGATAATCTTCCCTTTGTTGACCTTGGTTCTCTATCAAAGATAATCTTCCCTTTGTTGACCTTGGTTCTTATCAAACAGAGACATCCATACTCTTAACCATAAGCCAAAGTGTCCAAAATCTAAATGATAACAGATTTTTGGGTTGTTTTTCAGATAAATATAAATCTCTCACTTGCAACATATATAGTTATTTAGGAACTAGAAATGGGACCATTTGGATAGCAGAATCAGGTAATGGACTGTCAA